CAGGACTGAACCCTTACAGGCTTTCATCGATAAAAGCACCAGGCCACCTGGGGAAGGAAATACCACCAGCCGCGACAGGTGTAAAACTGTGCCACAAAACCATTCCCTTCTTGAGAATGATCTTAAAAATGCAGTATCTTCTTTCTTACCAAAGAAGGCGAGTGACGGCYCACTGCCCAACTCTGAGTTGCTGCCCTTTCTCCAAAATCTCTGCAGTCAAGTTAACCATCTTAGAGTGGGACATAATGCCAAGTGGCAGGAAAACGTCTCCAAGCCCCGTAACGGCATTGTTGGTGTTGCAGTGGAAGAACAGCCTATTTGCTCCTACTTGGAAAAGATTCTTTCTAAAAATATGGAACTGATGGAAAAGAAACTTGTGGACTACATTGATCGGCGAATACTCCAACTCCAGGAGCACATAGATGATAAGATTACCTTGTTAATGGACTTCCTGCAGAATCCCAACTCCCCGCCCAATGGGCTGCCTTTGAGACATTGTGACTCTGGAGAAAGACTTTCCAATGGAGAAAGATAAGCTCTCAGCGTACGAGGGCCTGCAGATATTTATTACCTATTTATTACACAGCCCAAACCTAAAAACATTTATGAAAAGCAAGTATCTGATGTCCTCCGAAGGATCATCGGCTTACATAAAGTGACCTCGGTGTCCATTTTTACTGCCCTTGTTATTGTAAATCCAGTACTGTACACCAAGAGGTGACCCCATTGTCCTAAGTTATTCTGATTTGCAGTGTTTTTCACTTACAGATTTTTAGGTATTCTTGTGTTGCTTAAGGGTTTTAAATATTTAAGGATTTCTAATGCATTTCATTAGTTTGTATTGTATGTGTTTGAAGTACTTTTTTAATTTGTAMAAAGACCTTATTTAATAGTTGAAGGGTATGAAAAAATGCTTACTTGACTTTTTTTCCCCTAATTGATTGTTCTTGGAAAACCAGGTGTTTTGACYTGAAACATTTCATTTCAGATCACCAACTTAATATTTTATGTTGTTTACTTCACATTTCAAAAATGGATGTCATGTATGGTAAATGAAAGATCAGTTCTCATTGGGGCCATTGATTTTATGCTCTATCACATTGTAACAGCAGATTGGAAAGTGAAAAATGAAAACTGGCCCATTCTTTGTTAGGATTGTTACTTGGATGCAGTGTTTGATATAAAATGGAAGAATTTGTCTTGTCTTACCTCATCATCCCAGAACACATAATGAAGCCTCCTTTTCCAGCTGATACAGGTTCTTTTYCCCAGGCCTTCCTAGCTTATGTTGAGTATGAACTGCTGAGGGTCTGCATTGAAGTATTAGAGCACATGAGTCCAGTTCTGTCTGGTAGAYTTGATTCTTCAGAAACTAGCTGGGCATAGTGGTGCTCACCTGTAATCCCAGAGACTCCGGAGGCTGAGGCAGGAGGATTGCAAGTTTAAAGCCAGCCTCAGCAACTTAATGAGGCCCTAAGSAACTTAGCAAAGACCTAGCCTCAAATAAATAAATAAATAGATAAATAAATAAATAAATAAAAATAAAAGGGCTGGAGGTGTGGCTCAGTGGTAAAGTACCCCTGGGTAAATCCCCAGTGCCAAAAACCAAAACAAAAACAGATACAAATGTATATATGTTGAAGGGTGATGTATTTGAATGTAAAAATAAATGCATTCACTCTGGAAGCTACTTGTTTGGAATAAATAGAAGAATTTTCTTTTTATTTAATGTTTGTTTAAGATGTCTATTTTCATAAAAAGATGCTTTACCCTCAAGATTTTGGTGAACTTAGTTCTCGTTCCTTAGATGTATGTTATTCCTGGGAATTATAATTGCGCATGTCAGAAGTGAAAACACACCTATGCCACTTGTCGGCCCGGGTCTCTCAGTTCATATTACTGTTCCAGCTGTAGTGTGACGAACCCATCGTGCCAACCTGATCAGAACTAGTATCCTCTTTACCTTTCATTTTGTAACATCTTAACTGTAAAAAGTGAAAATCTAACAATTTCAACAATTAYGTGCTTGAATCCTGGTAAATGGCTCCATGTTATTTCATTTAGTAATCGAAACATACAGTCTATCAGGCTTCAATTGAAATATTAAATCTGCTTTTGATTAGTAGTCAAAATACTGAAAATGTTAGAATTGATTCAAAATAGCATTTATTTTTCATAGGAGCTAATACATACCTACATGTGGAACAGAATTCAGAACTCTGAGGTAGGGAGCTGGGATCCTATGGGTTGATGTCACACTGCTTGGGGCATGAATGTTGGAGTCGGCACATTCTGCTACCACTGGACCACACTGCTTCCAGACATCCACTCTCAACCATAGACCTTATTTCCTCTTGCCAGAATGATTAGATTCCTCTTTCTCAAATGACAGGTATGAGAAAATAACTTCTGATAAAATAACTTCTTCAAAGTTGCCCCCCCCCCCCCGCAACAGCATCCTTAATCCACCTCTGGATGGTTTAACTATCTATCTGTGGTTTAACTAATCTGCTTGTCAGTCARATTATGTACTCCTCTTACTCCCCAATTTTGGAGTGAGATGAAGCAAACTCTTATCCCAGACAAATCAGATTTCCTGGTGGGGTAGGGGAGTATTTAGGAAGAACACCCATGGTCTATTAGATGAGTAACAAGAGGTCCCAGAAGAAGCTGATTCTGGGTCTATGCAGGCCACTCCCCATCTCAGCCTTGGGCAGGGGTTGGCCAGAAGCTTCCAGAATCTCCTTAACTCTGAGATGGCATGACCCAGTTGGCAGTGGATGATTTAAAACTTTTATTCCCTAAAACATTTACCACTTAAAAAATAGCTTTGCATATTATCAATGTTGTCAGACAATAATTCTTTGAAGTAATTCCGTTAGTCCCATAAAACATCTTTAAAGCTTACGTATAGSAGGAGGTCATTCTGAGTAAGTGTGGATACAGTTCAGAGGCCCAGGCACAAAGCCATTAGCCATTATGCAGGCCTGATAATTAAGGGCCACCATAACCTGTGAGAGGCAAAGAGTCTGTCCCCTGGCTGGCTGTCCTTCTACTCCTTCTGTTTGGGTTTTGCATCTCAGCTCCTCTTCATACAGAAGTGAACCCTCTTACCCACCCCTGGCCAGCCTCAGCCTCTCTGGGAAGAAYCCTCAAGGTTTACACACAAAGGATCTGTGTTTGGGTCYGTTCCTCCTCCCCTGGGCGAAGGTGTGGAGGTTGCTGATGGCWTGTGGGAGGGAAGCCACCCTCACTGCTTGCCTACACTTCTCTGCCCAGGTGTGAAAGATGTTTGATCTCAAGACAAAGATTATCATCGGCATTGGGGCCGGCTTACTGTTTGCGGCCATCGTGCTGATCTGCGTGGTCCTCAGTCTTTTCTTCAAAGTCTCCAGCATACTGAAGTGAGTCCTGTGGGCAGAGTGAGTGCCCTTGAGATGGGACACCTGAGCTCTCTGCTTGACTGCTCATTCTTTGCTGCCATAGCCACTCCCTGGGTGAGGTCAAGAGCCGCAGACAGGTTGGAGAAGGCAAAGGCASAGGATCTTGGGGTTATTTCCTCCTGGCTTGGGGCTGCGACTCCTAAGTAGAATGTTCTCAGCCTAGAGGCTGTGTGTCCAGCACAGCTTTGCTGTTGTTGGACCTCACGGAGTTTCCCTTCAGGTATTTAGCAGCCCCTCGGCTGAGCCTCCCTCTGTCCTGGTCGCTGCAGACTGAATGTGGGGGACACTGTGGGAGCAAGATCTGCCTCCCACTCAGTCAGAGAACAGGCCGCACTGACCTCCTTTTGCCAAGTTGGGAGCTCCCAGGACGTTCCCCCATTCCATTGCTGGAGGCCGTGGGAACAGCGGGTGGACCTGTAGGACAGGTCTGCTAGAGAACCGCTGACAAGGGGTGCGGGTCGAAGAGGAGGTATGTAAGTTTTGGGGAGAGGACCTTAAGTGTGGAGAGCAGTTAGCAGCACTGGTGTCCCCATTCTAGGGAGTTAGATGATGGATACAGAGACCAGGTCACAGCCAAGTGTGGCACCTTCCCCATCATTCCTGCATCTTGAGGGCCTGCAGCAARCAGCTGGTGGGTCCCTGCTTCAAGTCACTCTCCTTATTCTTGTGACCTGATTTTACGTGCACAGCAGTTGTAGGAAAGGATAAGGGAGGAATTTAGCACAGGACCAGAGAGTGTGAGCTAGGGCGGTGTCACATATGTGACTGAGTAGCTCCAACCCTGAACCTCCCAGATAGCACTGATAATTGTAAGAAATGCACTGTGAAGAAAAATCCTAAGCCCATGCTTTGGTATGTTTTTTCTTAAGAGCGGCAAAGGAATGCTGTCCAAGCAAGTTCCAGAGCAAGATCATCCCACCTAAAGGCACGATGGAGTCTTGTCCTGCCCTCCCGTGCTGTGACGAATATAGCCTATATGCAGATTACGATGCCCTGCCACCTTGCTATTGTGGCACAAATGAGGGGCTCTGAAGTGGGAATGGTGGACACATTTGTGAACAATATTTCTTAGTAGAAGTCTTATTATTGAAGTTCTATAGTGTTTATATTTATGTACTAATGAGATATTTATGTACTTTCACATAAAGGTACAATAATGAAAAGAATCCTGCCTGCCTCAGTTGTTGTTGTTAGTTTTAAATGTCCTTTTCCTAAAGTTTTGTGTTACCACTTTGGTACTTGAGGCAACTAGCTCATCATTTTATATTGCAACACAAGCAGGAGAGTTAAAGTAGAAAATAGAGGCCATGTGAATGAACGGTGTTAACAAGAAGGGWTAGCATATTGCTAGGTGCCTGGTATAAAAAATAAAAACATTTGAAAACTGAGTTTTGACTGAATCTTCCTGGCAGCATAGACAAAAAAGAAACTTGACGTCTCTGAACGATCCCAGGTTTTCTCCTGGTTCTAAGTTAGATTTATTACGTAGAACCTTCTCTTTGAAATTCTGAAGAAAATGATTGTGTGGTTCCATCTGGGTTTTTTCAAAGGCTCAGACCAGCTTTCAAATCTTGGCACATGCTCACTGCTGAGGGCAACTGTCCACCCAGATGTTTATTTCTTCCTGAACTGGAAGCACTAGGCTGCCTCTGGGGGCACAGGCTTTTCAAAGTCATACACTCTCCTGTGGGCAACATGGACTCTTCTCATGGCTATTGCCAGGGCCAACGTAAGGTCTTCCATCTGTGAGGAACATAAAGGACCAGAAGGAGCTCTGAAAAGAGTCTCACATCATCTGGGCTGCTTCTGCCACCAGAGATGCAGTCAGCAGATTGAGTTTATAACCACCTGACCCAGGTGTTTGTCACAGGGTGGGCACTTAGTAAAATAATAGACCTGGCAAAAGTCCCTGTGGGTATGAATTCTAGAGAATTCCCAGAGACACACAGGRATTGCATCACTCAGTCCAGCTCACAAATCCTGAACATAGCTCTGGCCCCTTCCTCCCTCTGTTGGACCTCCAGCCTCCAGTCTCCATCCAGCCCAGTACTCCTGAATGGTCATGAAGTGTGGACTGCCAATGAAGTGTCCACTATCCAGAATGCAGAGCAAAAYGTGCTTCCACTTCCCTAAATTGCCTGTGAGTGACTGAATTTCTTTACAGACCCCTGGCTCAGAGCCCCAACTCAGCATTTGGTTCACAGAGTTGGGGGCACTGGATGTGGAACAAGAGGACATTTGCAAGGTTAAGGTTCAGTAGTAGAAGGACTGATTCCTGCCCTGGCCCAATTTTCCAAGTGAGCAGTGGAGGCACTTCTGTTCTCTAAGCTTAGTTTCCCCTGTCAGAGTTTTGAGCCACTCTTGTCTCCACTTGGAACTCAGAAAAATCCTTCCCAATGAACTGGGTGATAGTGAGGTCAATGGCTGGATATGGGTGATTAATGAGCAAAATTAAAATGAAAGAATATATTTCAGGATTTACTCTTGTGTCTGAATTAAGAGGATCAGGTGGGTAAATCTAACAAGTTGATGAAATTCATGCTAAAGGTAATAAAATTTATGGGAGGTCATTGCTT